GATGATAGCCATTCTGATAGGTGTGAGGTAATAATTTCATTGTGGTTTTGATTGGCATTTCTCTGATGGGTAGTGATGTTGAGCAATTTTTTATGTACCTGTTGTCTGTGTATATGGCTTCTTTGGAAAAATGTTTGTTTAGGTCCTCTGCCCATTTTTTAACAAGTTTTTTTTTTGCTATCATATGAATTCTTTATATATTTTGGATATTAACCATATCAGATACATGCTTTGCAGGTATTTTCTTCCATTCGGTAGGTTGCCTTTTTATTCTGTTGATGGTTTTGTTTGCTCTGAAGAAATTTTTTAGTTTGATGTAGCCCCTTGTTTATTTTGCTTTTGTTTTAACTTTTGGTGTCAAGTCAAAAAAATCATTACCAAGACCAATGTCCTCCTTCTTCTCATCTTACATTATCTCTGCTGGCTAGAATGTAGCAGTGTTTCCCTGGTCCTTTAATTTGATTTTTTAACTCTAACCTATGGTCATTCTGGGCTGCAGTCTCCTCTAGCATTTATTTGGAATATACAGGAAGCAAAAATAACCCCCAAGGAACTGAACACCCAATCATTCCTTATTCCTGAAGTTTCTATCCATTCTGCCTTCTTCTGTTCACATTTCACAGTCTTTCAATTCTTGCTTTACTTACTATGTCAATGGTTATAAATTGTAATTAATAAGCTTTTAAATCCATCATGACGAGAATGGGAACTTTATTCCCATATTTACTGAATGAATGATTAAATGAATACACACATCCTGCCTGCAAGTTGCTTGTGTTTGTGGGTGTCAGTATAACAATAGGAACAGTATTAAGAGAATTAATTCCTATGGAAGCTCATAGGCATAGGAATGAAATTATTTTTAGTGATATTTAGAATAGGACATGTGGTGTGGTAGTTAGGTCATTGTTCATACAATAATTTTCTGAGATCAACTGGGTATCCTTTAATTTGACTCAGTCCTGACACTACCCAGAATTGGCATAGACCCACAGGTTAAGGGCAAAATCCTTTACAAAAAAAAATCCTCTATTTTGAGGAGAATCAAGATGGCAAAGGAATGGAAGTCACACTGATCTCCTCCCAGGACCAGCTGGAATTACAACTGAATTGTGGAGAAATCACCTGGAACAAACAACTGAACAATAGTGAGAGAGAAGCCTTGTAACCTCAGAGACAGAAGAATCTGCTTTAGCTCAATCAGCTGGTAATGAGTGTGGTAGAGACCCAAGAAGGCGGGCAGGGCGCCCACAGGCAGCAGCACCAGAAGGATATTGAAATGGCCATTTGGATCCCCCTGAGAAGAGCAGGGTCTAAACCATAAGCAGGGATCTCCAGCCTACAGCACCAGCGCCAAAAGAGTCCACAGATAACAGCCAGCTGCAAAACAGCAGCAGGGTTGCTCTCTGCAAGAGACAGATGGCTGAAAATGCAAACGCCTTTTAAAGGGCAAACACATAAATTTTTATTTGTAGCCACATACACTGGACTCTGGCAAATGGGGACAGGGTGGGCTAGAGATGCCGGAGGAGAGACTGGGGAGGGAGGCTTTGGGGAGAGAACTGAGGGAGTAGCTGGCGGGATCCTGGTGCTAATTCTTCCTCCATACGGCAGGAGCCGTCTTGCTCAGGTGGACCACTCCCCTGAGCGAGAGCAGTGTGAGAGGACCCAATAACCCTGCCCCCAGTAGGGACTCTGTCCGCCCTGAGCTAAGGCAGCCTGCTCAGCGCAACATTGATTAGATTAACAGCTAAGGGAGACAGCCACAGACAGGAGATTCCTGAAAGTCTCAAACAGACTGCCTAAGGTCAGACAGGGTGAACATCTGACATAATCAGAGGCAGATCCAGAAAGGAAATACAGTGGTCTCCTACCATAGAGGTTCACACCACAAAGTCAGGAAATCAAGACAGGTCAATTGAAGAAGCAGAAGCCAAAAAGAAGACTCTCACAAATAATGGGAAGAAAAAGAAACACTCCACAGTCGAAGGGAAAGGAGGAATCCCCAGAAAGAGAACTAAATGAAACAGAGGCAAGGAAACTATCAGATATTGAGTTCAAAACAACAGTTCTAAGGAAGCTCAATGAGCTCAGTGAGCTCGGAGAGAATTGTAAAAACCTACAGGGAAACTGCAAAGAACTTGCTGCAAACTTATCAGCACGAACAAGGACCTAGAAACTATCAATAAGAGAAAAGAAGAAATGAAGAATACAATATCTGGATTAAAGAACACAGTAGAAGGAATCAAAAGCAGGCTAGATGAAACAGAGGAATGAATCAACGAGCTGGAGGGTAAGGTAGAAAAAAGCTCCCAGAAAGAACAAGAAAATGAACAAAGACTCAAAAAGAATGAAGAGGCGCTGAGGGAAATGCAGGACAACCTGAAACATAATAATATCCCTGTAATTGGGATCCCAGAAAGAGAAGAGGAGGAAGGGATAGAGAATCTGTTTGAAAAAGTAATGATGGAAATCTTCCCTAATTGGAGGAGAGAAAAAGTCACACAAGCCCAGGAAGCACAGAGAGTCCCATGCAAGAGGAACCCAATGAGGCCCACTCCAAGACACATCATACTTAAAATGGCAAATATCAAAGACAAACAGAGACTCCTAAGGGTAGCAAGGGAGAAACCGGTAGTAATATATAAGGGAGCCCCAGTACGGCTAGCAGCTGACTTCTCAACAGAAATACTGCAAGCCAAAAGGGAATGGCAAGAAATATTCCAAGTTGTGAAATGCTAAGGCCTGCCCCCAAGACTGCTCTACCCAGAAAGGCTCTCAATGAAATAAGGTGTTTCCTAGACCAAAAAATGCTAAAAGAATACACCTCCACCAAACCAGCATTGCAAAATATGCTAAAGGGACTGCTTTAAAAAGATGAAAATAATCTATGAATACCCAGTTCCTTTCACAGTCACCAATACTTGACATTACCGATATTTTTTAGTAATTATTAATCTGACTGGGACCATGATGCGTTATTTTAATTGTTCCTTTATTATTTGTTGAAACTAACCTGTTTTAGTATATCTCTTGCCTATTTCTTTTTTTTTTTTTTTAAGCTTTAAATAACTTTTTGGTATTCTTTATCCATTTTCTGATTAAATGACTGTAGCATTTTTTCCCTAAAAACAAAAAAGAACAAAAAAACATAACCCTTTTTTAGATGTGTTGCAAATACTTTCTTAATTCTATTGTTCTTTAACTTTTTTTATATGTATATTACTGTACAGTCTTAAATGTTTAATATCGTTATGTTGTCAATATTTTACTTTACACCTTCTGGGTTTGAATATTTTACTTCAGGGTAAGAAAAATATTAGTTTGTATTTTCTCCTAAAACTCCTTAGATTCTACATATTGATTTTTAACTCACCTGAATATTTCTTGTATTTGTTTTATTTCAAGTAATAGTGGTCCATGCACCTTATTTGTTGAATAGGCCTTATTTTGCCCATTGATTTCAAATATCAATTGAATCATATTTTTCACTGTTAAGCAGATATATCTGTTTCTAGAATCCTCATTTGATTTCATTGATCTACTTGATTATTTCTGTGCTAGTGTTATGTTTTAATTGCTGAGACTTTGTAATGGATTTAAATTTTTAATATTTTATAATGGGTTTTGACATTAAATTAACAAATAAATAAATAAAAATCTCTATTTAAAAAGATAAAGAAGGAACTCCTATCTTTTGCAAGAAAATGGATGGAACTGGACAATATTATACTCAGTGAAATAAGCCAATTGGTGAAAGACAAATACCATATGATCTCACCTATAAGTGTAGAGTATTCAACAAAATAAACCAGCAAACAAAATAAACCACAGGCATGGAAACATGGAGCAGACTGAAAGTTACCAGAGGGGATGGAGAAGGAAGACAATGGTGGAAAGAAGGAGAAGGGACTAAACAAAGAACATGTGTGAATGACATGTAGACGTGGAGAACAGAGTGGGAATTGATTGTCGGAGAGGCTGGCAGGTTGGGATGGGTGGAGGAGGGCAAAGGGGGAAAAATTGAGATAGCTGTAATGGAATAAACATGATTTATTTATAAATAAATAAACAAACAAATAAATAAAAAAGACTGCTCTATTTCATATGCCAGGCACAAGTCTCAAGGGCCACTTGCCTGTCTGACCTAGTTAGCAATAATTTGGGTGTTTGCACAGCCCCCTCAAATTTGACAATTTGCTAAGACTCAAGAGAACTCACTGAAAATGCCATACTGAAAATTGTAGTTTTATTATAAAAGTTACAATGTAGAAATAGCCTTAGGGAAGCAATGAATAGACTGTGGTCTGGAGCAGGGTTGGGGTGGGGTCACAGAGGAACATAGAGCTTTCGCCCTTTCTTGCTAAATCCATGTACATTAATGTAGCTTCCCAGCACATTAATGTGTTCACCAATCAGGAAGCTACAGTGAACTTTGTTGTCTAGATTTTTTATTGTTGTTTCCTCATACAGTGATCATTGATTAAATGATTGTCCACGTGATTGAGTTCCTCCCACCCCTCCCTCTCCTCCCTGGAGGTCCGGTCAGGTCAAAGTACCAAGCTCCCTAATCAAGTGGTGGGTCTTTCTGGTGATGTATTCCTATCCTGGGACTATCTAGGGGTCACCTTGAGTCACTATTAACAAAGGCATCCTTGTCACTCAGGATTTTTAAGGGTTTTTGAGCAACTGGGAATAAAGACAAGATATATATTTTTTATTACACCACAGTTATCAAATAAAATTTCAAGGACAATGTGGTGCCTTGAAAGATGGGTAGGATTTAAGCATTTGGAAAAGGGGACAAGGGCATTCCAGGCTGAGAAAGTAGTATTAGCAATCACACAGGCATATACTCCAAAGTGCAGAGATTAGGATGAAGAAATATATCAAATATATTTTTTTTAGCTTTAGCGAAGGTTATATAAAAAAGAGGAAAGTCAGGTTGGCCCTGTCATTTAGTAATATTCATTAATCATAGACACTTTTTATTCCTACAGAGCAGAAGAAAGAAGAGATCTGTTTATGTTTTTCCGAAGTCTACACTTTTTTGTGGAGTGGTGTGAATATCGTAAGCGCACATTTGAACATTTCAAGGTAGTGTCTAAAGTCTTTAAATTTAAACATATATGGCCCTGGCCAGGTAGCTCAGTTGGTAGTAGTGTCATCCAGATGCACCAGGGCTGTGGTTTGGTCCCCACAGGGGCACAGTGGGAATCAACCAGTGAATGCCTAAACGAGTAGAACAAGTCAATGTTTCTCTCATTCTCCCTCTCCCTCCCTCTCTCTCTCTCCCCTACCTCTCTTCTCAACCCCCTCTCCTTCCCTCCTCCTTTCTCCTCTCTCCCTACAGTAAAAAAATAATTTATTTTTAAAAAAAGTATATGGAAAAGTGAAGCTCAAGTGAATTTGGGGATTTAACATAACATTCTTTCCTAAGTTTTTAAACAAAAAAAATTTTTAATTGGCCTTTGGAATTTGCAATTATCTGGAATAAATGGAGGACTGCTCCTGTACAAATCAGTGAATCTTATATGATGGAATATCTTGAAAGAAGTGTAGTTTTATTCTTATTTATTTTATAATACACATTTTGACAAATTAATCTGTCAAGCATACTGGAAGTAAAATGACAAATACTAATAAAGAATATAATAGCAGCCTTATCACATAGCAGTATAATCTTTACTTCCTAAGCTAGACTCAGTATCCTGAGCTTCTTAATTATTATATTATATTTCAAGTTTTAATACTGAAACCTGATTCTTGTCAAATAATGCCTCTTAAGTCAGATACCAATACTTTCAAAGACTCGTTTTTATTTTGTTTTTTGGCATAACTTCAAAATTGGATAGCATCAAATTATTCACATCAGTGATCCACACAAAAACCAGTACTGAAAGAGTCAACATAAATAACATCTCAAGGTTCAGGTTTGCCCAAAAGCCTAACTAAGTCATCATGACTATTGTTTTTATAACTCATATTAACTCTCCTTTATTTCGGATTCTATTATTATTGTTATTATTTACACTCCGTTTGGTTGAACTAATAAAATCTGTCAGGCACAGGGTTTTCTTTAAAATGAAACATGCCAGTACCTGTCCTATACCTACCTGTACCTGTACTGAGATCCCTTGAGTAGTTCTCACAGTTGTGTTGTTTACTTGCAGATGCTTTTGGCACCAGAACAATTAAATAGCCCTTCTTTACAAATGATTGAGGAATATGCTGGCAGTTACAGTTATGAATCATCTAATGCGGTTTTTTATTTAGTCATTTGAATGGGTTGTGGGAAATGTGAGGGTGAGTCCCGTTTCCAAAGCCAGGTTGCCTCCAGGTGCTTTCAAGACAGGTGTAGAAATAATGGGTACGTTTTTCCTGTAGCGTGTAGAACACTTCTATGTTCTACATAGAGGTCTTTTGCTGGTGATAAGATTACATGAATGGAAAGAAGCAGTCACATTGTTGTGTAACCATCATCAATGTCTAGCTCCAGAATTTTTTCATCATTCCACACTGAAACTGTACCTGTTAAACAGTAACTTGCTATTTCCTATTCCCCCCAACTTCTGGGAACCACCATTCTATCTTCTGTTTCTATGAATTGGACTACCTCATTTAAGCAGAAGCATCAAATTTGTCCCTTTTTCCTGGCTTATTTCACATAGCATAATGTCCTCAAGGTTCATCTAAGTTGTAGCATGTGTCATCATTATAACACTCCTATATAAGGCTGAATAATAATCTGTTTTATGTATTTGTCACATTTTATTTATCCATTCCTCTGTTGATGGACATTTGGGTTGTTTTCACCTTTTGGTTATTGTGAATAATGAGTCTATGAGGAATGGTATACAACATCTGTTACATCTGTTCGAGTCCCTGCTTTCAGTTCTCTTTAAGTATAACCTGTAGTAGAATTGCTGGATTGTATGGTAACTCTAGTTTAATTTTTTTTTTTTTTTTTGGTACAGCAACTGTACCATTTTACATTTCAAAGAATGTATGAGACTTCCAATTTCTCTATATCCATTTGTTATTTTGGGTGGGTTTCTTTTTCTTTTTGTCAAAGCCTGCCTAGTGGGTGTGAAGTGATATTCTCATTGTGTTTTTAATTTGCATTTTCTTAATGATGTGTTTTTGAGCATCTTTTCTTGTGCTTATGGGCCATTTGTATGTCTTCTTTGGAGAAAGATCTATGCAAGGCCTTTGCACATTAAATCAGATTGTTTGGGGGTTTTATTGTTGAGTTATATGTGTATATATTCTAGATATTGATGTTATCTAATACATAATTGGCAAATATTTTCTCCTGTTCCATGGATTGTCTTTTCATTCTCTTGCTAGTGTCTTTTTTTAATTAATTCATTTTCTTTTCTCACCCGAGGATATGTTCATTGATTTGAGGAAGAGAAGGAGGGAGGGAGGGGCATCAATGTGAGAGAGAAACATCAGTTGGTTGCTTTTCATACGTGCCCCAACCATGGATCAAACCCACAACCTAGATATGTGCCCTGATGGGAAATCAAACCTGCAACCCTTTTGGAGTATGGGACAATGCTCCAATCAACTGAGCCACCAGCCCAAGGGCTCTTGATAGTGTCTCTTGATGCACAAAAATCTTTAATTTTTATGAAGCCAATTTATTTATTTTTTTTTTTTTTGCTGCTTGTGCTTTTGATGGCATATCCAAAAAAATCATTGCCAAATTTAGTGTCATAAAGATTTTTCTCTTTTTTTCCCCTAAGAATTTTATAGTTTAGTTCTTAAGCTTAGGTGTTTAATCCAGTTTGTAAGTTAAGGATCCAACTTTATTCTTTTGTATGCGCATATGCAGTTTTCCAGTGCTGTTTGTGATAGAGACTGTCCTTTTCTATATTGAGTAGTCTGTCACCTTTGTTGAAAATCATTTGACCATATGTGCAAAGGTTTGTTTCTGGGCTATTATATTCATTGATCTATGTCTCTCCTTACACCAGTACACTTTTGATTGTAGTAGCTTTGCAGTTACATTTTGAAAGGAAGATGTGTGAGTAGTCCAGTGTTGTTCTTTTCAAATTTGTTTTGGCTACTTGGAGTTGTTTTGAGATTGTTATGAGTTTTAGGATGGGTGTTTTCTTCAAAAAATGTCATTGGGACTTTGAAAGGGATTGCATTGAATCTGCCAATTGCTTTGGATAATAGTGACTTATTAACTATTCACTCTTCTGTCCACGAACACAGGATGTCTTTCCATTTATGCATGACTTCTTAGTTTCTTTCAGAAATGTTCGTAAGAGTAAAAAAATTTTTAAGTCTGTATTTCTTTAACTGTCAGTGTCAAAAATGAAGCAAATCTATTTAAGTTAATGGGATCAGCATATTTTTAACTCTCATAATTTGTGACTTAAGGGTATATATAATGTTGTCAGGTATTCATGTTCATCTAGAAGTTATAAAATTATTTTTAAATGATTCTATAACAGACTTTACCAGTGCTCTTTCCTAAATATTTTATCTAAACCACTCGCTTTTAAATTCTCTAAAATTTGCTAGTTATTTTATGATTTTTTTTCTCTTTAAGTTTAATTATATTAAGAACATAGTAATACATTATTTTTCCGACATCAGGAAATGAAAGAGAACTCTCCTCTGACAGTTTTTCCCAGTTTTGATTCCACCACCCAGCTCTCCTATCAAGTTTCTTTTTCCAGATAGTTACAATTTAGTTCCATTATTTATTCGAGATTATGATGGCTTAAAGATTTTATTTCAAATACAGCAGAGCCCTTCTGTTTAAACGGATTTTATTTTGCAGTGTTTATTGTATATTCAATTCAAATGTGGTCACTATTGTTCTAGGCACTTTGAAAGTATAAAGGGTATATTTATGTGTTTAGTGAACTCAGTAAGCCTTCAGTGATAGAAAAATGAGGTATGCACACAAAATAATGAGAAAGCAGTATACTAGTCATGATTATCAGCTGCTGAAATAAAACAAATGAGTGAGTTAATAAGTGTTATGGGTAATTATTGTGGCCTTAAGAGATCACAAATTGCTTAATGAAAAAGTTACATTTTGGGGCCAACCTTGACAAATTGGGGAAAAATTGAAAAAAAGGCCATTCTAGGTAGGGAAAACAAGGAAGCAAATACTTCAAAATAAGGAAGAAGTATTTGTTCTGGGAATAGTACACAGACACCAACTTGATTCTAATGTGTAATTTATGTTGGAAACAATGTCAGTTAATTTTTATATACACAGTTCAAACTTATGTTTCTAAAGAACTGATAATTTTTTTATGTAATCCCAAAATAATGTGGCAGCTAAGACTTTTGAGTGAGGTATGGACAAGGGAAAAGTTATTTTAGGATCTTTAATCTGATAACAGTGTGTCATTATAAATCTTCACTATATCATTGAAGATGAATGTTCATGATTAAATGTATTGGTTAATTATGGATCTTTAGAAAATGTTGCCCAGAAGTTTTGTGATTATATAGTCTGTTTGCATAAACATGGATGTGTATGGGTGGGTGGGAATGTTGTGTATAATAACACTACAGAACTCATTTTGTTTTTGTGTCTCACATTTGGATAGATTTATTGATACAATTCTCATTCCTGTAGTGTAAAGAGAAAATATTTTGCAGTAGTTATAATATTTGCAAGCCTTTACAATAGAGAACGTTATCTCTGTTTTCTGAGAAATGGGGTGGACTTTCGTTTCTTTTTGTTTTTGTTTTAATATACATATAAGCATACTGATTTTGGTCTGCTTGACTTCTTAAAATGTTTTACATTAGATTTAGAATGTTAATATTTAGAAAAGAGAATTTCATACTCTATTCTACTATTCTAGTAGAATTCTTAGTACTATTCTACTAAAGCCTTTAACTGTCTGACTGCAAAGCAGAATCACACTGAACATTACTATATTAGCTTATCAGAGAGTAAATTATACTTTATTTGAAAAGTTTTGCCTACGTATGAGACTATGCCCTATTTCTCAGGCTAAGTAAAAAGATAATAGCAGCTTTAACAGAAAGAAAAGAGTTTCTACTTCATTATGAATAGTGTATGAATCATAAGAGAAAAATGGAAAAGCACTGGAAATATTTAGCTTTTCAGAGATTTGGAAATGTCAACCTTAAATGCTTTAGGGATCCAGTAAAGGCCAGAAAGGACAAACAGCTGAAAGTTTCTTGGACTTATCCTCACTTCATTAGTAATAGAAATTAAACTTCTCAAATTGAGATATTTATGGGAAATCACACCTTTTAAAAATGGCACTCCACTATAAACTACTAGGATTTTGTTATGCTGTTTAAATATTTGCATATTAATTTGTTTTGAACTTAAGATTTAGTCTTAACTTTTTACTTATTATATGTTAACTTTTGAACATCCTTGCTTAAAACATAAAATTGCTTCATACTGGGATACAAAGTTACTATTAAACGGATATTTATGCTCCTTTAGACATTGTTGAGACAGATTGTAAGTATGTGAGTAGTTTAGTTTATGTGCTGCATTAATTGATAGGTGTTAAAAGTATGACCCTACAGGTAATATTCTTAAACAGATAAAACTGTTCGGATGCTTTCCCAGGATGATGGGATTTCCCTCCAAGCGTATCTCTTCAATGCGGTTCCGAATATAACGAGTGTCATTAGCCTTGCAGAATGTATCATCTGTAATTGAAGTTATGTTGTTAAACTGGAAAATAAAAGGGAAAAAATGTTCAAATATCTGAAATCAATCTTTTGTATGCTGTGTAATGGGATCTAAAAATATTTATATAAAGTGACTTTTAAACTATTACACAATACACACTGTATATTCTCATGGTAATAAAATCCTCTCTGTGCAGTCTGAGTCTTTTTTATTATTATTTTTTTGGAGAGAAGGAAAGGGAGAGAGAGAAGGAGAGAGAGAGAAACATCGATTGGCCCTCCGTACTGTGCCTGGACTAGGTACCAAACCTGCAGCCCAGGCATGTGCCCTGACCGTGAATCTAGCTAACTGAGCAACATGGGCTGGAGCACAGCCTTTTTATTTTTAAATCTACAGTGTGACTTTGGAAGAACAGACTACTTGCTATTATAGTAGCTGGAAAAAGTACCCTATTCTAGTGTCAACTCAAAATGCTACTGTGTCCTTAAATATTCTTTAAAGAACTAAAAAGAACAAATACAAATTTTTGTAATGCTGAAAGAGCAATTTTAGTTTATTTTTATTCCCTCCTCACTTTCCTTTACCTCAAGTTGATGTTGGACAATAAAGTCAGTTGGAAAGTCTTCAGAAGTGAAGATCTACTGCTATTGGACAAAGAAACATAAGCCAGAGGTTTTAATGTCCCTTCACTTTAAATCCATGGGCCAGGTTAACCTAGGAGACACTACTGCACAGCTGGAAACAAACACCACTCTGAGAGCAGATCTCAAACCTAGTGGTGCTGGACCTTTCAATGTGTTATGGATGGAACAGGGATTTGTGGGCAGGAGAGTACATTGGGCATAATATTAATACTTTTTGATAAGCAAAATTTACTTGTGAATGTGAGTTTCCTAAGATTGAGCCTTAGTAATTTAAAGTCATATTATGAAAGGAGAGGTCATACCTGCAGATGAATTACACGAAGACTTTCTGGTAAATTAAGAGGCACAGATTCCAGTGCGTTATGATCCAAATAGAGGAAGGACAGGTTACTCAGTTTCTGTAAGGAAAAGGCACTTTCAGTTCAGTGAGGTCAGTGCATTTCTTCACAGGATTCAAATTCTGCACACACATATATGTACACATGTACATATTCAGATTACAGGGGTTTTTGTTTTTAAAGTGAGTTTAGTTTTTAAAATTCTCCTAAATCCCTTAAATTTCACATAACTTTGATGTGTCTCTAGAATGTCCCTTAAATTTGAAAGAGGGTTCCTTAAATATACATAGAAAAGAAAAATGAAATATTTTTACCTTTTCTGACATATTGTATGTTTATGGACAGATTGTACATTGTGTGATCATAAACTTTATAATAATGAATATTTAATAATTTTAGGTTCTTATCATCACAAGTTACAAATCTTCCTTTTGAATAAGGTTGTCTGTTGTCAACAGTATCATGATCCTTGTGTCTGGGGTTCCTTCCAAGACTGGAATGAGTATATCAGAACTTTGGAAATCCTGAGGTGAAGTGATTACTTCTTGTGCATTTAGAGATAACTTGGCTACCTAAATCACAGTAGATCACCTTCCCTTTTTCCTCTACATATGTTTTCCTGAATTACTAAATTAAAAAATTATTTAATTTTCACTACATAATTTCATTTTAGGTGCCATAATGGAATTCAAAAAAAAAAAAAAAAAGAAAAGAGGATAACTACAGTATTTTATGGTCTAATACATTTAAGTATTAAAACTAAAATTCAGTATTTTGAGAATTTAATTTTTTCTGGCATTGGTAAATTACTAATATTGTAAAGAAAAAGTCAGGAAAACTCCCATTTTGAGGTTTTGTACAGTCTTGGTGCCATGAGGATGTGAACCATGTCTGTATAAGTAAATATTTGCTGTGTAAACAACTTAAAAAGATGGGACATGAAGTAGTCCATGAAACAAGATAAAGGTTATATAATTTTGTAAAGGACAGGCATAAACTAGACCAAAGGGGTCTAACGGTATGGCTACTTATTATGTAAATAATTCATTTATTAAATTAAAATAGTCTTAAAACATAAAACTAAATTCTAAACCAGATTTTCTCATTACTTTATTATCATTGTCTGTATAAAACTGATACTGTTTAGTCATAGTATAACATACTTACTTTGAATGTATTTGCTTTGATTCCTCTACTCTTGATTTTGTTGTATTTTGCATTAAATAACGTAAGCTTGGGAGGAAGAACTGGAAGTTTCAATAGTTGATTTTCAGCTAGTGTAAGTTCTTCTAACAGAGAAAGTTTTGAAAAAGTACTGTCTTCTATTTCTTCAATCAAATTTCCCGTAAAATCAAGCCTTCTTAAATTAGCTTAAAGGGAAAATATACCAAAAAAATACAGAAATAAGAAGTTAAAATCTCATTTGTGTACACTTTATTGAATACAATCATGTATGTTATTTTTGGATTTTTTGCTGGCATGTTGCATTGTCATTATGGGTATGTTCTCTTAATCTTTCTATGCCTTATTGCTGAACAATAGACAAAAAATGTTCCTTAATTTGTTAAAGTGATGCAGACTAAGAGAGAAATTCATACACTGAAATTTTAGACTAAACAGGACTGAAATTCAGTATATGAATTTCTCTCTTAAAAATTCATGTGCATGTGTATATGTGTATCACTTTGTGTGTCTGGGACAGTTGGGAAATATAGTTGCTTCTCATTATTTGAGTTTGCTATATATAAAATTGCTGTAAACATTGAATTAGTAAATATGGAACCATTGCTCCTAGTAGAGATGCAGGGCTAGGTCTCTTTAAGCCTCTGGTCATCCATTTCCATCAGCTAATCAGTACATAATTTTGCATGTGATTATTTTTAATGACATATTTAGTGTATATTGTTAATACATTAACATTGAACTCAACAGCCATTAGCAATGTAACTCACACTTGAATGAAGATTACCTAACGTGTATTTTCTACATAAGGCACATCACAAACTTCTTGTATTTAGAAATAGTTAAACAGTACTTCAGCACTTTGCTTGGGGACCATTTTAAACAGCAAAAAGCACAAGAAATGTGAAAAATGTGGCACTAATTAGACTAAACAGGACTGTTGTGTACCATATAACAGCAGAAAGAAAAGGTCAGAATGTCACCTTGTTTGACCTTGACGGGGTAACTCAATTTTTCTTTTTTTTGCCACAATATATATGTCTGCAAATGACTGTGAAAGTATTGTAAATACTGGTTTGGGATTTACAAATAAATTTTAGCAGGTAGATGAGTTTGAAAATATGGAATCTATAATTAATGAGGAACAACTGTACTTCAGCCAATAGAGAGGTTCCAGAGGCAGCATGAATCCAGTACAGTTAATCTTGTAAAAGTGTAGTGGGGTGACTGTATATTTCTTGATGTGATTTTCTTCAGAAGCACTTGACAGCATAGGAATTGAGAATATTTATGAGGAATTAGTGATCCAGGACTGGGACTAGGCACTGTAAAAATGAGGATTTGCTGTGCTCTTGGCAGTGCCCTAGTGGCAAGGTTTTACAAAGTTTGATAAAACATCAGAAGTCCAAGATTTTATATGACTTAGTTCCAATCATATTAGAATCATCTGAGGAGTCTTTTTGTGTTTAATGCTGATGCCTAGGCCTCTCCCTAGAACTCAGTGAGAACCTCTGGGGACTTCGGGCCTGCCTGGTATCAGTATTTTTTAGATGTTTCATCAGATAATTTTAATCATGCAGCCAGATTTAAGAACCATGAGTTGAAGTAAAGAAAAGCAGTCTCTATGCTTTTACATTGAAGGTAGAAAATAAAACGTTACAGTTTGAGAAGCATCCTTATTATATTGGGATTGCTGACTGGCTGAGGCAAATGGATCTTGAAATATTGGGGTTGAGAAGACATAGCCCTTAGCCTGAATGTTAAACGGCTATCAACATAGACACCAAAGTGACCATTAAAAAAGATGACAGAGGAGATCTGAATGAAAGAGAGATTTAACTAACAACACAGTGTGGTCGATACTTAAATAGGACAATAGTGACTACCCTGGATGTGATAGGCTACAAGTATCTAGAGTCTTGTGTTTATGTGAGTTAAATACTAACATGAGTTAACACTAATGTCTTATTTAAAACTGACTTACGGATTTCTGCAAAATCTTTGGCAGTCAACTTTTTAATTTTGTTGAATCGTGCGTAAAGATAGGCTGATTCCTTTGGCAAGGGTGGTACAACATCGATGTCAACTTCTTCACAGTATACAGAACCACTTAAACAAACACACAACAGGCACGTGGGCATTTCTAATTGGGAAAAAAATCAAAAGTATAAAAGTTTAAAAATATTTGGCCTCTACTAGTAAAATTATTGCTGTTATGAATTTAATTACTGAGTTGAAAAGATTTTACAGAATTATAGGTGATAAGAAAGATACCATGGTTACAGTAGCTAGAAACCTGTACTGTAACTGATAATTCATTATTTTTGATTCTGTAATTCACAGTCTCTTTTATTCTCCATTTTACCATTGATCTTTTATTATCGAATTGATCAACAATTATATTTCATCATTTGAATACCAGAAAATTTGAAAAGCAGGACTTAAGGTAAACATGAGCTTTACTTTATCACTTGGTGTCGCACAAACACATTTCATATTGGTGAAAGCTAAGGAGTTTAGAAACTACTGGTTAGATAAGCAAACTATTAACTTGAAAATTAGAGTCATCATAGGCACTATTGGGATTCCATTTCACTCTACCATCATTATTGCATTATTTGCCATGCCTCTTTTGTCTCTCAACTTTGAACAGTTCATTAGTCTTTATTTTTCATACCTTCTACTTTTTTGAAAAATTTTAATGTGTTTTTTTAAATAATTTTTATGGCATATATTTTGCAGAATGTCTTTTAATTAGGGTTTGTAGAGGGTCCCCATTTTTGGCAGGAATACCATGAAAATGATATAGGGTCCTCATTGCCATGAACCAAGGAGCACGTGGTATCTATTTGACACATTCCTGACAATGCTGTCTTTGGTCACTTGGTTCATTTGGTGGCCACCATGTTTCTCACTCTGTAAAGTAAATATTTTTCACTTTGTAACTCATAAGTATCTTTCAGAGAACTACTTTGATATTTTAAATATCTGATTTGTTATTAAACATCCACCCACTAGTTTTATCACCTATTGATTCTTACATGAATTGTTTATCACTAGGATAGTTGCCAAATAATGATTTTCTAATTCCATCATTCTTTCTGTACTTGTTAGTTGGCATTAGGTGTAAAGTGGAGCATTCTGTTTTCCTTCCTTCCTTCCTTCCTTCCTTTCTCTCTTCCTTCCTTTCTTATTTTTGTAATTAAGAATTTAAGAATTCTTTATCCTATAGGTCATAATACATTATTAACACATTTATTTTTATAATCAAATTGTCACAGATTAGCCAGTAAGAGCTCTTTTAAGCTCTTTTTTTATCCTGCCATTGCTTTTTTTTATTATATGACATACAATAAATTGCACATATTTGTTGTTTAATTTATGTTTTTGATATAGTATATACCCATGAAACCATTACCATAATGGACGTAATTAACATGTCCATCACCCCCAAAACTTTCTCATGCCATTTGGTAATCTCTCCCTTCCAATCTTGTATCAGAAGAACCATTTTTTATATACTCTTGTCTGGTTTCTTTCACGCTGCATAGTTACTGTGAGAGTCATCTGTTGTTGCTTGCATCAGCAGTGCATTCTTTTTTGTTACTGAGTAGTATTCCACTATGTCAGGGTACACAATTTATAATCATCTCTTCTGGACATTTCAGTTGTTTCCAGTTTAGGGCTATTTCAAAGAAAGCAGCTAAAAATAATTACATACAAGTTGCATGGACTTAATGCATTCGTTTTCTTGGTTAAGTACCCTAAGGGTAGAAGTGTTGGTTAGGTAGATGTGTATGTTCTCCTTTTGAAGGAAGTCCCAAACTATTTTCCAAAGTGGCCATGCCATTTTATGTTCACATCAGCACTGCATGACAGTTTGTTCCAGTTACCCTACATCCTCACCAACATTTTGGTGTGGTAGGACTTTATAATTTTAGCCATTTAAAAAAGGTGTGTTGTGGTATCTACTATTTTTTTTAAGGTTTTATTTCTTTATTTTTAGAGAGAGGAGAGGGAGGGAGAAAGAGAGGGAGAGAAACATCAATGTGTGGTTGCCTCTCATGTGCCCCCGCCCCCACTGAGGACCCGCCCACAACCCAGGCCTGTGCCCTGACTGGAAATGTAACCGGCAATGCTTTGCTTTGCAGTCCCTTGCTCACTCAGTCCACTGAGCCACACCGGCCAGGGCGGTATCTAGCATTTTAACTAGGATTTCTCTAATGATTAATGATGTTCAGCATCTGTTTGTTTTGTTTTGTTTTTTATATTTTCCTAACCAAGCCCCTGTTTATACACTATTTGCCATCCACGTATTTTCTTAGGTCAAGTGTCTATTCATCTCTTTGCCTATTTTTTAAATAATTTATTTTTTGTACTATTATTGAATTATAAGAGTATATATTATGGATATAAGTCATTTGTCAGATTTAAGTTTTGTAAATTTTTTCCTCCAGTCTGTGACTTGTCTTCTTCTTTTCTTATCAGTGTCTTTTGAGGAGCAAACATTTTTAATTTTAATGAAAAACAATTGATTCCTTTATAGTTCATTTATATTCTGTATTTAAGAAATCTTTGCCAACCACTAAGTTTTGATCCTGTGTTTTCAAGATCATATAGTTTAGACTCTTTATATTTAGATATAGGGTTCATTTTGAGTTAATTTCTATATATGGTTTAAGGGAGAGCTAACATTTTCTTTTTCTATACCTATCTGGTTCTTTCAGCACCATTTTTTTATATAAGATTGTTTTTTCTCCATTGAATTGTATTGGCAGCATTGTACATAATTAGCATACTATATTGTATGTCTATTTCTAGACTCTGTTTTATTGATCTGTTTATTTTTATGCTAGTACCACTATATCTTAATTCCTATTGCTTTATAATAAGTGTTGATATCAGGTTGTATAAATCCTCTTAACTTTATTCTTCTTCGATGTTGTAGTGACTGTTCTAGGTTCTTTGCATTTCTACATAAATTTTAAGAATACCTGTTAATTTTTTTAAAAAAAGAAAGCCTGTTAGAATTTTAATTGTAATTACATTAAATCTATAGGTAAATTTTTGAAAAATTGATATCTTAATGGTATTGAGTTTTCTGGTTGTGAACATAATATATCTATCCATATGTTTATTATTCTTAAATTTCTCTCAGCATTGCTGTCCAGAGTATAGTGTACAGGTCTTACACATCTTTTGTAAATGTATGCCTGTGTATTTTTTATAATTTGATTAATTCTTAGAAAGTTAAAAGTCACCATTATTCTTTGAGAACTTCCTGGTTTTCTTACTTGGTAAGATGTCCCAGACCAATCTTGCCTTTTCCCTGCCCAAGCCTGAAATCAGCTATTTCTTCAAAGAGGACTGGTTACTTTTAACAGAGAATGGCATTTAGAAACCAAGATTTGGATGTGGATATTCTCCTTGCTACCAGAATCTCACTGATTTTAGGCTTTTCCAGCAGAGAGAGCTAAGAAATATATTCATGTATATTTGTCTCTCTTCCCATATGTAATAATACACATACATATACACGTGTATATATATGTATATACACATACATATATACATACGAGATCTATCCAGAAAGTATCCAGCTGTGTGCTATGAAAAACAGAGACATACTGAAGAAGACAGGAGATAAAAGAAATGTATGTAGGACAATGACACCTCCGTCCCCTTCAAAGTAGGTACCTTGGGACCTCACATAGTTCTCCCAGTGTCACTTCCATTGTTCAAAACACTCTGCAAAATCCTTTGTTGGAACCCCCATTAGCTACCCTGTCATATTTTCCTGAATCTCACTGATGGTCTGAAATTTCTTCCTTTTTGAAGATGATTCAGTTTTGGGAAAAGCCAGAAATCACAGGGTGCCAAATCAGGGCTATAGGGGGGCTGAGTCACTTGGGTCGTTTGATGTTTTACAAAAAAACTGCATGAAACATGATACATGAGTAGACCCATTGTCTGATGAAGCTGCCAGTCACCAGTTGCCCATAGCTGTGGCCATTTTCATTGTACTCCATCACTCAAAGAACTTTGAAGTAGTACTCCTTATTAATTGTTTGGCCTAGAGGGGCATACTTTTGGACAGTACCTACCCAATCAAAAAACACAGTTAACATGGTCTTGATCTTGCAGCGACTTTGCTGTGCCTTCTACAGACATGGTAAACCAGGCGACTTTCATTGGATGACTGGGCCTTCATTTCCCAGTTATAGCTGTAGACCCACCATTCATCTCTGATATGACCTTGAGGAAATCTGGTTCATTGGCAGTAGTTTGAATCGTCATTAGCCACTGCAGCATGATCCTTCTGTCCTGGAGCAAAAGCCACAGAACAGATTTTGCCAGGACGTGTTTCATGCCAAGATCTTACGTCACAATCTCAGACCCAGTAGTTTTTGGAATCCCCAGGTAAGCTTCTAGTACTTGCACTGTCAGTTGTTGATATTTGTTGATTGCAATCCATACACATTCAGCATTGTCAGGTGTTCTGCTTGTTGCAGGCCTTCCAGAACCTGGATCACTTTCAGCAGATTCTCGACCATCTTTGAAACATTTGTGCCATACTTTTATTTGGGCTGTAGTCACTGCATCATCCCCGAAAGCCTTCTGAATCATCTGAGTAGTTTCTCTGTGGAGTACTGTTCAAGCTTAGCGCAAAATTGAATCATCTGAATAGTACTCTGTGGAGTACTGTTCAAGCTGAGCACAAAATTGGACGCGCATTCATAGCTCTACTTGCTCAGTCATCTTGAATGCAATGTCCACACAGTACACATGCTCAATCAGTGGTGTCTTCCGCCCCCGCTGACTAGTACTGTGAAGTCGCAGTTGTTCACACATGCGCCTTCCAGTCTACCCTCCTTCACTGCCAGGTTACATCGCTATCGCACAAACCATTCTCATGTTAACAATGGCTGGACTTTTCCCGGATAGACCTTTTATAAACACCCCCCGCCCATACCCCATATACTCGTATATACATAAACACAACATATGCATATATATGCAACATATACATACTCACACAGAGAGACAAACATGTCTATATCTGTTTCTGTATCTTTATGCAAGCCATGAATTGATGGTGATGTCTTCCATTCCAGTTCAGCTCCACAGTGTTCATTCTAGCTTTCTCCCTTTTCATATTTATAACACCCATCTCTGACAGAGACCTAGCTCTCACTTTCCACAGTGTGTTTACATTATTCAGTCCCAGGACAGGCATAAAGTAGTTTCCTTATTGCTACAAATCCACATACTAGGATTTTAGTGTTTGTTTACTGGTTTGTTTGTTTTAGACTGAAGGTATACTGTCAAAATACTGAATTTAAATCTTACTTGGATTAGATTGCCTCATTCATTTGAAATGTGTTTCTATTTTTTAATTTGTATTTCACTTTTTCATCTTACCCTTGTTGATTTTATTTATAAATATATTTGTTTGCCCGTGTGAAAAATAACCTTGTTCTAAAATCAAATCTACACAAAAAGTATACACTGAGAGAAGTGTTACTACCTTCCCCACACAACCACTTCATTTCCCACCCCCCACTACTTTCCACTGCCAGCAAAGATGCTGGCCCCATCTTTGACCTGTAAGATACTAGTCTCAGTTTTTTAATACCCTTGTTGAGCTTTTTTCTTTTTCTTTTTAAAAAGATTTTACTTATTTTTTTTTTTTAGAGGGAACAGAGGGAGAGAAACATCAACGTGCCAGAGAAGCCTCAGTCAGTTGGCTCTCAATTGGTTGCTTTTCCAACTGAGGACCTGGCCTGCAACCCAGACATGTGCCCTGACTGGGAATCAAAGCAGTGACCTTTCAGTTTGCAGACCAGTGCTCAATCCACTGAGCCACACCAGCTAGGGCAACAAGTGAGCTGATGCCTATATATGTTCCCATATCCCCTTCTTTGTAAGAAAAAAGGCAGCATACTGTAGGTATACATTTTCTTTGTAACATATTCTAGAAATCATTTCATCTTAGTTCATAGAGATCTTCCTCATTTCTTTTTACAACTGCATAGTATTTTTGTGTGTGAATATATCATACTTTATTCAAACAATATTCAGTGTATGGGCAATTATATTGTTGCCAGTATTTTGCGATTGCTGGCAATGCTTCAATGATTTTGTATATGAATTTACTTTCAGAGATTTATCTTTAGGGTACATTCCTAGGAGTTGATTGTTATGTCACAGAGTAAATACATATTTGGTTTTATTAGATATTGCCCAAGTTCCTGTCCAAAAGTGTAGTACTAATTTACATTCCCACCAGCAGTGTGTGAGATTGCCTTATACCCCATAGCCTTGCCAATAAAATATAGTAATATATTGTCACATTTTTAATTTTTCTGAATCAGATAGGTTAAAAATGGTATTTCAATGTAACTTTGTGTTTCTTTTTATGTGAAATTGAACATCTTTTCATATATTTAAGGGTCATTTTTTAATCAGTGAACTATGTGTACATCTCTTTTGCCTGTTTCCAATTGATTTTCAGTCAATTTCTTTTTTCCTGGAATTTTTACTTTTTATATAAATTAGAGGTATTAACTCTTTTTCTGTTTTAATCCTCATCGAGGACATGCTTATTAATCTTAGAGAGAGGGGAAGGGGTATACAGAGAGAGAAGGAGAGAAACATCGATGTGAGAGAGAAACATCTATTGGTTGCCTCTCATATTCTCCCACACCAGGGACTGAACCAGCAACACAGGCATGTGTCCTGACCAGGAATCAAACCTGCCACCTATCTATCAGTCTATGGGGCAGTACTCCAACCAACTGAGCCACACTGGCTAGAGTGAGGTATTAACTTTTTATCAGTGATATAAGTTACAAATTTTTTTTATCAATTTTCAGTTGTCTTTGACTTCATTTGTGATGTTTTTTGCCATGCAAAAGTTTTATTTTATGGAGTTGAAATTCATTGATCTTTTCTATTACTGTCTTTGGATTTGGAGGCAACTCACACCCAAGTTATCTTCTAGTATTTGTATGGTTTCACTTTTTAAACTTAGACCCAAATTTATTTACTTTGTTAAAGATTTTATTTATTTTTGACAGAGGAAAAGGGGAGAGAAAGAGAGAAGAGAGAAACATTAATGTGTGACTGCCTCCCGTGCACCCCCAACTGGGGACCTGGCCCCACAACCAAGGCCCTGACCAGGAATTGAACTGGCGACCCTTTGGTTCGCAGGCCAGCACACAATCCACTGAGCCATACCAGCCAGGGCTAGACCCGAATTTATTTGGAGCTTATTTTTTGGTGTAAGGTAGAGAGATCTAATTGTGGTCCTTTTCAGTTGACTACTCAGTTGTCCAAGCACCATTTAAAAAACAAAAACAAAACAACATTATCTTTGCTTCAGTGATTTTTAGGTGCTGACTTCATCATATACTAAATTTCTACATGTATTTGTGACTTTTTCTGGGTGTTCTATCCTGTTCATCCACTAGTATTGCACTTTGAAAAAGTGGAATGATTTTAAACTGTGTTCTAATGTGTGTGGTACATCTGGTTCCTGCAGATACCTATCATTTTTCAGTGTTTCTCTAGATGTTCATGCAGGTTGATTTTTCAATATGAACTTTAGAATCAACCTTACCAGATCTTTAAAGAAGTTTATTGTTACAAATTTAGAAATAGCTGACATCTTTATGATACTGAGTCATTTTATCAAAGTGCAAGGGATGCCTTTCCACTTGTGCAAATCTATTTTTACTTTGATACTTTTCAGGTTTCTTAAGATATATTGTCTGTTTTGGTTCATTTTAATTTTTTTGCAGCAATATAGAAATTGGTGTGTGGGTTTTTTTTTCATGTTGTTGTGTAAAATAATGTTCTGTAATAGAACAAGAATAAATCAAATAAATAAGAACTATTGAGCAGGACTTTGTAATTTAAGTTTTGTTTGTTTTCTATTGTTTTAGTAGAAATGTACATTATAATTATTTTTATACAGTCATGCACCACATAATGTTTTGGTCAATGATTATTACATATATGATGGTAGTTTATAAGATTATAATGGTGCTAAAGAATTTCTATCATCGAATGAAGTTGTAGCCCTTATAATGTCATAACACAATACATTATGTATTTTGTCGTGATGCTAGTGTAACTAAACTTACTGAGCTACCAGTATAAAAGTGTAACTAACATATACAATTATGTCCATACTTGATAATGATTATAAATTAGTATGTCATTGATTTATGTGTTTGCTACACTATACTTTTTGTTATTATTTTAGAGTATGCATATTCTTTATACTTATTTTTAAAAAGTTTACTGTAAAACAGCATGCTGCATTACACAGGCAGAAGCCTCATACATCTTGTGTTTACCAGATCTCTTGATTGCATTATTTTCTCTTGTGCTTTATTTAATGTTGTGTTATTTTATGCAATAACATACTGTACAGGCTTGTAGCCTAGGTGCAATAGGCTAACTGTAGGTATGTAGTAGATTCTACCGTCTAGATTTGTGTGAGTACACTCTGTGACGTTTACACAACAAGATCACCTAATGATGCATTTCTCAGAATGTATCTTGATCACTATGCAGCACGTAACTATATACAGATGTTCCTCAAGTTAACAATGTAGTTACATCCTGACAAACCAAAACCTGACTATATCGTAAGTTAGAAATTCCTAACATACCGAACATCTTAGCTTAGCCTAGCCAGTTTCTACTGAATGAATATTGCTTTTGTACCATCATAAAGCTGAAAAATTAACTCAAATCATAGTAAGTTGGGGACAATCTGTATCGCCTTTTCTCCCTTTTCTGTGAGTTTCTTGAAGGCAAGAATTGTGTTTTCCTTAGGCTATAATAGTACCTGTGCTCCTCGACTTATGATGGAGTTACTTCTAATAAACCCATCGTTAGTCGAACATATGGTAAGTTGCCCAAGCCAGGTGGTTCAGTTGGTTGGGGTGTCATCCCGTACACCAAAATGTTGTGGGTTTGATTTCCAGTCACAGCACATACCTAGGTTGCAATTCAATCCCCTGTCAAGGGCACAGATGAGAGGCAGCCAATCTAAGTTTCTGTCTCAAAGCATAGCCTAGCCTACCTTAAACATGCTGAGAACACTTATATTAGCCTACAATTAGGCAAAATTATCTAAGACAAAGCCTATTTTACAATAAGGTATTGAATATCTCTTGTAATTTATTACGCATACCACTTTGGAGCCATTGTAAGGTTGAAAACTGAAGTTGAAACTTTAAAAGACTGAGTTTGAAAGTAATCAATGTTTAATAACTGTTTCTTGAATTGATTTTATATAGACAGAAACACATACTCTGTAGGTGCTAAGTTTGGATTAGGCTTTGGTTGTTCTTGAACGTTCCTATTCCATGTTTCTTACTCATAACATGGGATGGGAAATGATGTGCACTCCTAACATACCTGTTTGACTTTATCATTGGAGATGGAATTCTACTGTTTGCGTTTACTATATCCAGAGGCAATTTGTGATTACTATAAAGAATAAAGTTCCATTATAAGCTGTTTTTTAAAGTTCCATTTAAAGCCCTGTTTGATATGGCTCAGTGGGGTGAGTGCCAGCCTGAGAACCAATAGGTCACTGGTTCGATTCCTGGCCAGGGCACATGCCTGGGTTGCAGGCCAGGTACCCGGCTGGGAGCATGTGAGTGGCAACTGATTGAGGTTTCTCTTTCACATTGTTGTCTCTCCCTTTCTCCCTCCCTTCCCCTCTCTCTGAAAAATAAATAAATAAATAAAATCTTTATAAAATCAGGTAATAGGTATTAGGTATTCATACTTACCATCATTTTCTTTCTTGGGGGGTAATGGTGTTACACTCTCATCTTTATGCATTTGAAGACTTTTCTCATCAGATATGATCATAGATTCTTTTACCTATTGGAAGAATAAAAATGTATCATGTGATAAAATCTAATTTTGGCTATAAAAACTAAGGGAGTGTGGACAACCTCTGTCTTCTCATAGTCATAGTTAATGGCATTTATTTTATCTTTTATTAGGATTTTATGTATTTATTAAATTATATTATGAATATTTGTTTAGCTTGCTTTTCCTTCATACTGTGGGCTCCTTGAGCAGAAGAACCAGGTCTTTTTTTTTTTGTTTTTATATCTCTAAAAGCCAAACTCCTTGCTTCCTAAATGTTGAGCATACTGAAATTCCAAATGGGAACTGAGAGAGAATTCTCTGCTTGGAATTAAACGTTTTTTTGTAGATAGTGTCTTGAGATTATTTTTATGTAAAGTAGTTCTTTTAATTATTCTTTACGGTTCTTACTTGAACTGAGTTCCTGATACCATATTCTGACATGTTCAACAAAACTAAAGAACCAGTCATGTCATGTGTAAAAAGCACTAAGCTCTTTTTATCTCTTCTGGAAGTGACCCTTAAATTATCTGTATGCCTCCATTAAGCCCTGGCCCTTGGAGTCCTTTTATTCCAGCCTGTCCACCACACTCAGACCACTGGTCCACGCTAGTAGCTCTAGGAGAACGGGGGCCTTTATCATTTACACTCTCTTTCATAAGCATTTTTCTGTCTTCAGTGTGTCTTAACTCCTTCATTCTCTTACGTGTGTTCTGGTTGATCAGTCCCTTCCACTCTGTGTTTGTGTATTAAGTGCCAGTGAATTCTGCTCCACTTCATTTATATTAAGACGGACTTATAAAGAAAACAACATAAAGAAAAGAAACATAAAACTTCTTTTACTTATTACATTTTTGGGACCAGGGAATTTTAGAAACATTCTTCTGATTGATAGTTTTGAATCATCCTTGTGATCCAGTATCTTATTATAATGGGCCTTTTTTTGAAGCTATGACTAGTGATACCTATTTTTTGGTGTCTTAGTGTTGGGCAAGAATAATACTAGCATATTAACTAACTTCATTGAAGGAAAATATGGTGTTAACATTTGCTCATCTGTGAAAGAGAAAGAAAAAGGAAGAAAGAAAGGGAGGGAGGGAAAGAGTTCTTTTCAAGAAAAAGAAAAGAAAGAGAGAAAGGAAAGAAGAAAGGAAGAAGGGAGGAGAGAGGGGCAACTATAACTGGTCACTCTTAAAATCTTTGCCGTCTTATTTGTAGTGGAGAAGAACTTTGAAAAAGATAACATTGTTAGATATTTGGCTGCATTTCTCATTCTCTCTCTCTCCTTCTCTCTCTCTCAGGCGCTCTGTGTGTGTGTGTGTGTGTGTGTGTGTGTGTGTGTGTGTGTGTGTGTGTTGTTTGTCTGACTGACTATAGGCAGGGAAAAGATACTTATGTGCTGTATTAACTTCTTTACCCTGCGGTGTGCCAAGAAAACCACAAATAGTTACTTAACCCATACAAGTGAAGTATGAAAGATTTGATAGAGTATTAATTTAATAAAAGTTACATTTACTTGGTACAAATTGATAGTCTAAATTGTTGATGGTGATTTAAAAAGAAAGCTCCATATTAAGTAGTTTGTTTTCGGTACTATAAATAGTTGGCAAATATAAATTATTGTAAAATACTATACATACCAAACTGATGGTGCTCTTCTATTTATTTCCTTGAACCACTTCTTCCTAAAATAGTAGATCTTAAGCTTGTAGTCCATCTTTATTTCTCCTAATACATCTCCTATTTTATTTTGAGATAATATAATATTCAAATATGAGCACTGTGTAACACTGATACTTCACATATAAATCTCAGTTGGTCAGGGATTACCTTAAAGTTTAGTTTTCCTTAAATTCTGTGTTAGTTACTATAGATGCTGTTTGGTTATCATAAGTATTATTTAATAATTTGAGAGACATACATACTTTAAAAATACAATCTTAGGGATACTTATTTTTAATTACTCTGAATCACTTAAAGTGCTTTTTTTCTTTCCTCTTACATATGAGACACATTCAGAAAAAACAAAAGCATGCATTTAAATGGGCTAGACTATTTTAAGAAGTTAAATTTAGAGTAGAAATAAGGTACCTTAATATTTTTTTCATCCAGGTATTGATCCTCATAATCCTGGGTAAGTAAGATTTCTTCAAAATTATCTGTTCCATAATCAGAGATGATGTGTGAGTTCTGCTGAGTTGGTGGTGCTGGCTTTATCAGAGGCATAAACAGCAACAGAAGTGTAGACTGCAGAATCTTCATTTTAACAAAAATTAAGGTGACTGGAAGTTAATAAGCTAGTATTGGCCTGCTAATTGTAGGACAGTACTTCTTTTTCCCTGGAAGTAAAAATACAGACCATCGAAGCAATGTTTAAAAGCTTAGAGGACTTTTTGGCAGTGTGTACGCAGTAGGGGCCAGAGAACAAGTATTTAACCCTTAGTGATCTTTAATTAGATGCTAAAAGTTTTTAAGTATCAGTGATATTCTGAAAAACAGTTTCAGGAAATGGTTTTGTGTCTTTCCTATCAAGAAAATCCAAGCAATGTTGATAATTTCAGTTTCTTAATAATTAGGTACCATGAACAAAGGTACTTTTATAGACTTGAAATCTTAGGATACCTGTAGTATATAAATAGTTAAAGTGAAGACCCACGATCCTGCCTCCTGTGAGTTTAAAATATCATATTTCAACTTTGCTATTTTATAAGAACTCTTGATTTGTATTGGTATGAACAAAACAAGTTCCAAGAAAAGTTTTAAAATTTAATCTTTAAATTTAACATTATGAAAGGTAGTCATTAACACTTACTTTTTGGTGGCACAAAATAGAAGAAAAGCCATATTTTAATTTTCTTAGTTTTTTTGAAATTTTCATAGGTATCACTATTTTTAATTAATAGAATTACTATTTAAATTTAAATAAAAAAATAGTATTGCAGACTTGGAAAATATAGAAATTTAATAAAGGATAAGAAGAATGTAATGTGAAGGATTTAGGCTTATGGGTGGATTTTATCTGGCAGTGCACATTTCAGACTTATTCTTACTTAATTTCAAACAGAATCACCCAGAGTTGATGGTGCTGCATTGTAGATGCCAGTTCATCAAAAATCAATGGTTAAAAATTAAGAATAACAAGATTTGGGACATTTGCAGCACCATTTTCTTGCCGGTAATGGATATTAAAGTTATACAATCATAAATACTAATGTAGTTGTTAAAAATAATTGTTTAAGGTAACTAAAACATTAAAAAAAAACTTAGAGATAACCTTTACATTTATTAAGACTGTTCGATGAGTCACATCTTAACAAATGACCTTTAAGATAATATGTAGGAGTCTGGGGGAGCCTACCATTGTATCTATTTTGAAGCTTTTTTGTGGTTTTCCTCAATAGATGTTAATGCCTGTGCATAAGCCCCAAGTAGGAGGGTGAATAAGGAAAGCTGTGGATTGATTTCAAACTGCTGAGTAGAATTTCAAGGCCCAACAGCTTTAAAAGCTGTTTCCATGTGGTAGAGATCTTTGCCAACAACATTCTTTCTCTAGAGTGAAATGTAGTGACTGTGTTGTACAAGGAACTGTGCTTAAAATATTTGTAATTGTTGTGTTCAGTCTGCTTCTACTAATTATCGTAAGTTTGTATTATTTTTGCCTTATAAAATCAACACTAATGTTTTTGTGACTATAAAGATAACGTAGTTCTAAAATTACGCTTTCCATTTTAATGTTTTCACAGGAGATAAACATCTTTTTCTTAAATGAAATAGTATAGCAAACCAAAGCATAGTCTATGATCCACTTTTATTAGGAGTAGCAATATTGTTCTAGACTATAATTCAAAGTAAAAATTAGTTTTAGCACAAATTATTTTATAGTTTAGTCATGTGGGATTTCCTCCCCTTTGTACTCATTATGTATAAAATAGCCCAAGTGTCAGAATCGGCTTTTTAGTAGACTTGATTTATAATCTGGCATTTGATAATAAAAATTTATTTTTGTGTGCTAAATGAAGGAAACTATAAATATTTAATATTAAATTTATTTTTATCATGCTTTGGTACTTTTAGCAGTCAAGGTAATATTTCTCCCCTAAGCTAAAAATTCAGTAAATATAAATATGGATAAATGTTTAAAAATAGAAAAGGAAAGAATATTAGTTTGTTCTTATTTTCTATTCAAAACTGGTTTAAGTTTCTTTCAAATGAAAGCTTGAATAACCTAAGGCCTGAATAACCTAAAGCTTGAATACTCATGTTTTTATTTGAATGTGAATTATTTTAAATTTAGTTTTGGTATTTTGGGGTTTTGGTTGATATAAAGTGTCAATTCTATGGCTTTAAGGGTATAAGAAACATTTTAAAATCATCTTGTAAGGGTAAAAGAAAATATCTAATAATGAAACACAAGATATTGATTTGTTTTCACATTGCGTGGCAGGTTTAATGGAATGTAGAGAGGTGAACTAGATAGATATTAAATGTCAAATTTATAGAATCTTAGAGATTCATAGTTTTACTAATGGTATACACAGTTCCATACTTTGTACTACAAAAAATTACTTAGTGGATTGTATCTTTCTTTGAGAAGTTATGACCAGGAATACAGTTTTATTGGCATTCATTCATTTAGTAAAAGTTTATTTGGCACCAGTTCTCTGCCAGAACTACAGACAAGATAAGCACAAACAAGAAAATTTACTCAGTTTCGCCCCTTTTTAGTAAATCAGCATGAAGGGCAGCGAACAAACCATATTATGCAGTGAGACCTGCTTCACAGAAATGGGCAGGGTTCTGTAACAACCTTGAGTGAGGGTGAGGCCACAGAGGCTGCATCAAGCTGACCTATATAGAGAAAATGGGTGACAAGTGGGAATAGTGGCAGAGGGTAAGATGTTCTAGGAAGGGAAGCATCACCCAGGTGGGGTAAGGTAAATAATTGAGAAAATTTATTAGTTGTATATGGTTAGAACTTGGAGGGATAGAGAGAGGCAGTGAGGTGGTGGCCCATAAGAAGAGATCAGACAGGGGTCTAGAGGTCAGATTAAGGAGAGTGTTTTATATCTTGCTAAGGTGTTTCGGCTTTATTCTGTAGCCACAGAGAGACCACTGAAAGATTTTCTTTTTAACCAGTAAGTGATACGATCCTATTTTTATGTTAGAAATATCCCACTAATGTTACAGTCCTGAAGAATACCACTCTTTGTCTATTGTATGGGTTATTGACATTCATTAATGGCTTAAAATAACATACATTTATTATCTCACAGCTTCTGTGGGTCAGGAGTCCAGGCATGGTTTTGCTTGGTTCTTTGCCTCAGGATCTTACCTGAAAGCTGTAGTCAAGTTTTTGGCTGGGGCTGTACCCTCACTAGAAGAGTGGAGTAAAGTGAAGGATCCACATGTAAGCCTGTGTGGTTGTTGGCCACAGCTTGTTGCAGAATGTCAGACTAAGGGCCTCAGTGTCTTGCTGGATATTGGCCAAAGACCACTCTTATTTCCTTGCAATGTGGACTCTTCCATCAGACAGCTCCTAACAAGGCAGGTTGCTTCTTCACAGCTAGACAGGGAGATAGTCTTTCAGCAAGATGCACAGTACAGCCTTTATAACAGTCATGCACACATAATCACATATATGCCATCTCACCTTTGCCATGTTCTGTTGTTTTGAAGCAAGTCAGAGGTCACAGCCACACTGAAGGGGAGATGGCTACACAAGGCAAGATACTAAAGATACTCAGATTTGCACTGGTCAATAAACCCATCTCTTGCACAGAGTTAGCCAAACATAGTTTGAGGACATAGTCCCCAAGATCATCCTCACTTAAACCAACTGCAAGTTTTAGGGGTTTCCCACAGCTGCCCTAACATTTGATAATTTGCTAGAAGGACTCATGGAGCTCACTGAAAGTCATTGTAGTTATGGTTTATTAGGGAAGAATACACATAAATATCAGCCAAGTAGACATACATTGGGCAGAATCTGGGGAGGTTCCAATGTGCAGAACTTCCATTGTTCTCAGGATGCATTACCTTCCTGGCATCAATGTGTGACAACACACCTTGCCAACCAGAAAAGTGCAACAAAGCCTTGCTGTTCAGAACCTTTTTTTTTTAATTGGGTCTTTAATTACATAGGCATGATTTATCAAGCATCCATGTGGTTGAACTCAACATCCAGCTCAACTGATACCACATGACCCAAAGTCCCCATCCTAAATCACATGGTCTTTCTGTCTCTTTCTGATATGTCCAAGCCAACCCTAAGACTATTGTGTATGACTAGTTCTACCCTAAGATCTTGGTGTGATGACCCCAATTCTGAACAAAAATATTTATTACCTCCTAGAAGCTGAAAGCAAAGCTCAGACCTCTCTTTTGGGTAAACTCCGTTACTATACAGTTCCCAGAATAAAATATGTTTGAAATTTACATTGTGTTCTACTCTACAAAGAACTATTATATCCTAGTAGAAAGCTATTTAGCTTTCACTGCACTGTAATGAAAGATGAAAGTTGTCTGAGGCTCAAGGGCAGGCATTTATCCAAAATTGAGTGAGTTTACTCTGTGGAGTTCTTTCTGGTGACCCTATTGCATTATCCTTGGTATCTTTGTAGGGATTTGTATTGTTGAAGGTGCCCCACTGAGCTGTTCATTCTACCTATCTAATTGTTTCTCACCCACAGGCAACCAAAAATGTGTTGAATAGAATTGAGTTTTGGAAAGAAGGGTTTGTTTGTGTGTTCAGTTGTTCATTTGTTGTTCAGTTACAGTTGTCCCAATTTTTCTCCCATTACTCTCCCCTGCCCTACCCACTACTCTCCTTCCCATTCCCCTCCCCGTTCTGCCCCCGCACCATTGTCTTTGTCCAAGGGTCCTTTATATATGTTCCTTGACTTGACTCTTCCCCTTCTTTCCCCGTTATCCTCCTCCCCCCTCCCCTGTGGTCAGGACAGGAGGGTTTTCTAGGAGAATTTTTATTTTTTTGGAGGAGGAGGAAGCTTAGTTCTACTGACAAAGAACAGATAACTAAAAGTAGATTGAGTTTCAAAAAAACTACAAGTGTGAAGAGTCTTTTCTTTCTTTATCCTCTAACTTCATTGGAAGTAGTATAACTTAAGAGTCAGAACACATAAGCCTTAGTTTTGTTCTGTCATTAACCTTCAGATTAATGTGCCTTATTTTCCTTATCTATTAGACTAGAATCCAGTTCCTATAGAGTTCCTCAACTTCAGCACCATTAAACTTTGGGCTGGATATTTGTTTTAGTAGGGATTGTCCCATGCATTATAGGACATTTAGCAGCATCCCTGATCATTAGAGGCTAGTAACGCTTCTCTATCCACTTCCTACCCTCCCCAACAGTGACAACCAAAAT